GGTACAGCAGATTTGTCTGTTATGTTAAACTTATATTAAAGTTTTACTTCATTACCCATTCAAGACCGTCTCCAGCCGTTATTAGTAATACAAATGTCTATTCAAGATAATGGTTCAAAGAACCATTAGATAGTTTTGTTTCACTAATATACCAGATAATGAAAACATATAATTATATTTATACTCTTTCAGTTGAGTTGGATGTCGGCCTAACATATAACATAATGAAATAAGTTGTTGTTTCTTGAGAATGAACAAAAGCTTATGTTTTGTGTGTGTGCATCTTTTTTTTTTTACTTTCATCATTTTTAATCATTTCATTGTAATGAGATAAACAAAAAAAAGAGGGTTGTGTGATAGAAAAAATCCCTACAGTCTTTACTGCGAGAAGACTGTTAGAGTTAATAAATTTGTGCTTTATTATTGGAATACGGAGACAAGTAAACATAAATAATAAAATGTTTTATACTGCATATAAATTGGGGTTGTGCTTTCCATTAAAACACGAAAAATTCTGAACAATTGATTGTTTTTCAATAAAACCATATTATGCTATTTGTTTAATGTATATTTTTAAAAACATCTTACATTGACTCCAATTATTATTTTTGTCAATGTTTAGTTTATAGAAAATTGTATAATTAACATAATCCGATTTCACCTATAAACAGAACTTTAGGTTGTCAAGAGACGAAATTTTAAGATAAACAGTTTTATATAAAGACAAATATAGTTAAAACCGCATAAGCGACAAAATTAAATAATACCTTGAATAATCGCCAAGTTTTTATATTTTTATTTAAAGAAAGAATGACGTTTCGAGCTAGCGCTCTTCGTCAGATCGTACAGCTTACAACAAAGTTATATTATTTAAGTTTTATACAAGCATTCATTTTAAATTCTTCAGAATATAAACCATTCTAAACTAATATTAATAAGTTCCCTTTAACATGTTTCATTATTTTACTATTCATTTAATTTGTTTCACAACATTTTTATTAAAAGGATTATGATCAATAAAAAAGGCTTACCTGAACGTTTTGTCTGTGGAGAATAAAAGCCTCCGTGAGCTCTGCACAATAAAGCCAAAGCTTCTGAAAGATGGGTTCCACAAAGTCTTACACTGGATACGCTGCTTGTGAGAAAAAGTAAGCCAGCCACTACAAAAACGGGTATCACTACTGCTGTAACTTTGGTTGTCATGGCTACTGTTGTAGCAGGTCACCGATGTCAAAGTCTACTTTCTACTTTCTTGTTGTGCTGTCTGAAAGGTTATATTCAGCCTACTGTCCACGTTTGTTTTAGCGACTGGGCTTTTGATCTTCAGGTCCTTAAAATGGAATCATAAAACTTTGAAGCTGACCAACTCCCTTCCCTTTTTTACTATAAGTGAGACAAGTTTCAAAGTCACTAATTATCAGTGAGAACACAAGATGGACACGTGCAGCTCACGCTGACCACATTCGAACTGACCACTGCAATTAGGGGTTGAATTCGTAGTAAACACAAGGCCTAGGAGGGAAACCACATTGTATACAGAGTTAATCTGGTATGCTTTAATTCGTCAACTTAAATAAACATTATCAAATTAATCGATAAGATATAATTTTATCCTGCTGTTATATTCTTCAAAAACCTGAAGCATTTAAAACATTCCGTAAATACCTGAAATACTTTTCATGTTGATGTTAGCAAACAAATAGGATTTTTTTAAATTCATCCTGAATCATCACGCCTTTAAGAAAACACCTAGAATATTAATTTTGCGTTTATATGTAGATTCTATAATAAATTCACACAATTAGCTTTTAAATCCACATAATTCGATTAGTTTTTGTGTTTAAAAAATAAACTATATGGCAAAAGTAAAATTGAACGACTTGTTATATGTTTATGGCATTCAGTACTGACTCACCTCTACGCTGACCTACTACACTTCACGTGACGTTGTGTGTAGTGACCCCAACACAAAAGTAAAGTCATGACCATTTTCCAGTGTTTTTATATTTAGTTGAACATTTTCGAGAAAGGTTCACTCTTGAACCATGGTTAATTTTTTGATTTAACAATTACCTACCCAGCACATATTATCTATAATAGCTCTTAAGACTAATTATATATATTTTTTAACTTCAACCCTTCAGCTACACAAAGACGTTTAAATACTTGAACGAAATTAGTGAGATATTTTGCTGCACTGAATCTTAGTGTTTTTAGAAATATAATGTTGTATATATATATATTATTATCAATACGTAATCAACTATGCTTTACATGTTCGGTGACGAGGAACCCACTTTGAGACTAATAATGGCTGGAGACGGCTT